TTGTTTGTTTGTTTGTTTGTTTGTTTGTTTGTTTTTCTCCTCTGGGCCAGGCAGCATGATTTTCAAAGCAGTGATGAGGCAGTAACAAGGAAATTATAGACTCTAACCAGTAAGAAATTTCCCAGGATCGAATGTAGAGGAGTAACATTAAAATATTTGGCCTGAGACACTTGAAAAATCAGCCTAAGTATGCCAAGAAGTGTTGGTGATATAAATGCTGCAGTATTTGAATTTTCCATGAGCTCCTTAAGTGTTTTTCTAAAAAATAACTTCTGTTGTAGGGAAGAGCAGACACTGGACACCATTAAAAGTTTGGCTCTGTAGGACTTGCCTAAGAAAATCTGTTTGTTTTTTTTTTTTTTTAAAAAAAAAAAGATAATTGAAGGAGTCAAAAATATTAATTGTTGTGCCTTATCTCTAATCTTCCTTTTTTTAAGGAATTGCTGTGGTGGGTTGATACTGAAGGAGTTAAAGAAATAATAACAACAGAATCTAATAAAATTGCCATTCATTAAGTTTTATCATACAGCTAGTGGCTATTGCAACAACAGTTGGCGCTCCGGTGTAGAGTGGTGGAAGTCTGTGAGTAGTTGGAAAATTTGAAAGGAGTAGCAAAGCTGTTTTCCATAGTGGACAACTGCATCCAGTTTATGCCTGTAGTGATCTTTACTTTCATCAGAACTAATTTACATTCTTTAGATAAATTACATAGAGTGAGAAACAGAAGCCTGTGGCCCACCATGATGAAGTTTTATGCAACTGTAATGGAAAAGAGATGATGACTGAGTGGAGGAGGGTGGTCTACCAAGCTTCTTTCGTGTTAGGAGTATGGAGCTGCTTCTGCCCTCATTTTTGAGTGTTCCGCAGGAAGATGAGAAAGTATTTTCATGTCAAGCGGGAAGGAAAAATTAATAACAAATTGAAGATCGGATCTTCAAAGATACATAGGAAGGAAGGCTTCAAAGGGAGTTGGACAATCAAAATTCCTTTGAGGAAAAAAATGGTTCTCGCTCTTCAAGTACCTGCTGCAACATGAGAAAGAGATCCCACACAAACGCAGTCAGAGCTCCCCACTACATGACTGTCTGATGGGTGGCCATTAGAAAAGTTGTTTTAAGTCTGGTGAACATAAATCCATCTTCAGGGTTTCAAAAAGCAGCACTGTGTAGTATATTTGCTGTTGAATTGCAGTATCATAGAATGGAGAAAAAATGGTTTTCGGCATTTTCTGAAGTAATGGTGGAGTAAGACGTTGAAATCCATAGAGATTCATTGTAATTTTAACAGTATTTTGTAGGACTCAAAGTAGTCTTTCAGTATTGCAATCAAGCCTGCACGTTGGCAGTGATTTTTTTTTAACTTTGTATAATTTATTCATAATTTTAAATAGTTATTAATGATTTTGTGTACTTCAGGGTGCAAAGCTGTGGTAGGTGACAGCAGTCAGACTAAATGATCCTCCTTTGGGTGATGCTTTGGTTCTATTACCTTTTAATTGTTCTTTTCTGCAGTTTCTGTTGG